AGTGTCTTCTCCACATTAAAAAGAGGTGGTTCACCGACTAAAATGAACCCAGATCATGTAAGTTAACATGAAATCCAGTGTCTTCCCCACACTGAAAAGAGCTGGTTCACCGTCTAAAAAGAAACCGAATCTGGAGCATTTAAGTGACATATATTATGCGAGCTAAACATGAAATCCAGTGTCTTCCACAACACTGAAAAGAGGTGGTTCAGCGGCCAAAGAGAAACCGAATACTACCTAGCACTCTTAGGTGGAATCCACTGGCTAGTACATATGCTGGACACATAGTTAAAATACTAGAAAGTTCAAAGACACTTATCCACCTTGGTTGTAATCTCATCTCATGAGGCATACATGTGCTTGCACAAGCTCAATTCTAGTCTATTGGTGCTTTGCTCAATTTTTTATATTTTACATCTTGTTGAGTTGACTCATGCATTATGGAAGCTTGCTTCTTGTATGAGGTATGCTTATCTCAATGGATCACTTGTAATCCCTTTATTTACTTGACGAATGTGAACTTAAGTCTTACATTATTGTTATGGTGTGAATGAGACTTGTCTCGTGATTTGTAGCACCCTCTTATGTGAGTATCTTTAACATAATTGTTTAAGTATAAGTGAGACTTGTCTTACTTCCTTTAACACTCTATATTAGGTCAATTTCATAATGCATAGCTTCTAGTTATGTCATTACTCACCATATCTTGTTCAACATTAATTGATAGTCCTGTATCATTCTTTATGGAATTTATAAGGACTTATTCAAAATGCTATTATGTTGACAAGTTTGTGTGGATTGGATATGTTGGTACTTGTCCAAATTTTTTACACACCCTATGTTATGAGTTCATTGGTATAACTTTATATATTTTTAAAATAATATTGCTGGCTAATATATTGGCATAAATCAAACTATGATATTATTAGTAGCCAAGTCACTTATTTCATGAATACATTATAGTAATCTCATCATGTTAACAAGACAACTTTTACACCTTCGATTAGCCTATAAGAACAATTCAATGAACAACTTATAAAAATTTCATCTTCCGAACATGAGTAGGCATTACAACATTTATTATCTCACGTAAATAATACCCTAATCATACAGATCTAACATATTGGTTTCATTCGACATTATAAATCACAGAACCTACACATAATGATCAGTTGGCACCACATACCAACAACAGGCTCGAGATTTACATTATACATACTACAAAAATTGGAAATAGGGAGAACCAGGGAGATGAACATGCAATTCATTGGGAACAAGCTTAGTTTCGGTATTCTTGAATTTAAAACGTTTGAGAAGATTCTTGAAGCAAGGAATCCAAGATACAAAAGCCATACATTTCTGTAGAATTGAATCTACGAAGATCACCTTGCGTTATGCACGAAAACCATGAAAGACTGCCTTGAAATCGCCTAAGGTTTTTCCTACGTTGTTCACCGTTTTTCAGTTGTAGGTTTTCTAATGATTAAACATGAAATCTCATAGGTACACTTATACTATAGTAAGGTCCTATTGCCCCCCTGAACTTATTTTATAAGTAATTTTCTACCCCCTTTTGGCTTACGTGGCACTATCTTGTGGGTTCAATGTTGGTTGACTTTGTTTTCAAGCTGTGCCACTTAGGCAGAAAAGGGGTAGAAAATTACTTATAAAATAAGTTTAGGGGGTAATAGGACTTTAGTATCATATAAGTGTGTCTCTTGGATTTTGGGAATAGGTGAGGGGGTACTTGTGCATTTTCCCATTACCTAATAACCAAAATTCCCCTCCTAAATTAACTAAAAATAGGAGAACATTTGACGTAGCCAAATTCTAAAACATAGCTTAAAGATTTTGGTTTGACCATTTAAATTAATTAATTAAGTTGATAATTTAATTAATTAAGTGACCTAGGGTAATAAATAAAGTACCCCTAAGTCACTAGGACCATAACCAACCATTTTGGACCATCGTAGGTTAGGTACTAGGATGTTTCTTTAGTTAGTTACTCGTCTAGTGTCACTCGGTTAGGTCTTCGTTTGTCGGGTGCACTATTTAGTTCATTTTAGTTAGTCTTGGATTAGTTAGCTAGTTAGGTAGGTTAGCTAGAGCCTAGAGTCTATTAGTAAGCTAGGCCCCACGTGGCTTAAGACGTTCGCGCGCCTGCCCCCTTACCGCCTTAACCGAATTCGGATGAGCTTTGTTGGTTGTCTGTTGGCCGGTTAGCACATGTGCTTGCACATATGTTGCTGCTCATTTAATATCCTAGGACCCTCACTATGCCATTGGGCACTTCTTAATCTACATGATTATTTTAAATGATCATGTGTTATTGTACCTAGGCTTGACACTTGGATGCCTCGTACCTTATGTGCTAAGAATCAATGAGATTAGCCTTGGGTCTTCATTGCAGGTACAATTCTAAACAAGCTTGGATTGGGTTATTTCAACCAAAATGTATTTTAAATTACTTGTTAATACATAGAAATTGGCTAACACCCTTAAGCCAATATTCTCTATCATGCCCAATATTACTGAATCTTGGGCATTGGGATGCCTATGTACCCCAATACATATTCTTAAAACCTAATAGGCTCTTCACTAGAAAATTACATGTTATGGAATGTTACGTTATCCCCCGCCCCCCTTAGGAACATTCGTCCACGAATGACACTACACATCATTTTGAAACAAAGAGGGTATTTTCGAAAGACACATCACATACTTGAAACTTTACTCTTTGTGAATATCTTATTCACAACTTACTCTGGATGATGCACATCACACAAAGCTTATTTGAAGCTTCATACCAGAGATTGAGGAACTTCCTTCCCAATCTTACTTAAACTCAATGCACATCACATCTCATACAACACAAAAATCATGTTAACGCTATACAAATATAGAAACATAAATGCAAGCATGAACTCATGTTAACTCATATAGTGCAAGTATAAAACACGTAATTGTGGACATACAGACTATGGGAGGATCTTCATGTTCTAAGTCATTGACTCTGACTAAGTGGTATAAATACCCCATAGATAAAATCTTATTGTCTTTAAGATGGGAAACTATTTAGCATGTTGAATTTGAACTACGCCCTTCCGGTTCCAGCTCTTACTTATTAGGAAACTGAAACCTTACTAACCTATGGAACCAATCCATACCAAAATAGTATCGAAGTCAAGCATGGTTAATTCTATTAAGTCATTATACTCTTTCAGTGCTAATGTTGTCTCTTATTTTTAACAACCCTAAAAATGAATATGCTAAGTAATGCTTAGTATGTCTAGAATGCCTACGATTACATCGGGTTCACACAGATTGATGCACATAGAACCAGATCTTTGAAACCTTGATATGGACAAGCCAACTAACTTGGGGAGTTAGTGGAGGTAGAAAAGGTTGGGTCCAACCATGTAGGGCTCTCGAATACGAAGATTTACTTGAAGGAGTCTTTATTGGACTTAAAAAAAGTAAAATCTTAGATTTGGAGGGTCTAGGGGTAAAATGGTCTTTTTATAGTCTAAGGATATTATCGTAATACCTAAATATATAATTAATTATTTAATTAATAAGGTAAAGGGGTATTTTGGGGAGAGAGGGCCGAAAATTGGCTCTTGAAGTTAAGTCTTGCTCCACCCGGGTTCGAACCTAGGTGGATGCAATGAATTAAATTATTTTTAATTTTAGTTGGTAAATTAATGTAATTAATTTATATTTATTATTTATTATATGATTTAAAATAAAAGGAAATCAGTTTTTTAATAATTAAATAAAAACCTTAATTGACTAAGTCCTAAACTAGACTCCTAATCCGAAGAAAACTCTTCTCGTCCATGCTCATCTCGCCCTCTCACGTCTCTATCACTCTCACTCAACATTCTCTCCGCCAAATAACTTCAAAGAACATTAGGTAAACCAAAGTTTTTCACACTTGAAGAACTCAAAACGAAAATATAAGAAAACAAACGAAATAAATCACGTAGGCAAAAAGAAGTTTGTCTGTCGAGTTGGTGTTGACTTTGAGGAGATTTGGACGTGATCTTGGTGATGTTTTGGGTAGAAAAAAATCGAGGGTTTGATGTAAAAAATTTATGGGTTCTATTCTTGTTTGGTCCCTTTACCAAGAGACCCCTTAAGGTTCAGATGAATCTATTCCGAAAACTAGGGTTGTTCCCCGTTACATGTCCCTGTAACTAGCTCCTACTGAATCATAGGTTGGTTATGTTTGCTGCTATAAAACTAGGGATAAAACATGTTTTCTTGATGATTATGTGTTTATATAGATGTTCGGAATCATTTGACTTATGTTGATGTTTTTTCCGAAATTATGTGTACGTGTGTGTGCAACGTGAACCTTATCTATGTGCCTCGGGTTAAGGCTTTAAAATTTTGATGTTGTGCTTTTGTTCAAACATTGTATTGGTTCCATTTTGGCAAGTATACATTTAATGCTATATTAAACTATTTCTTTCATTTGATGATCTTAATGTTAGATGGTCAATGGTGAACAATTATGAGTCTAATAGAATGATTAGTATGTATATTAAGAAACAAAAATTTTCAAATTTTCCGCTAAAATTAACCTAGTTGAAGTAAGAATGACGTTAGTAGTCTTGTCTGCGACCTCTGAGAGGTTAACGACGCCGGTCTCGTCTAGGGTCTAGACTCTAGTCATGAAAAAGTTGTTATCACAGCACTAGGTTAAATTCCGAGGATAATAAGTTCACATCACATTGAGTAGTTTCTAAGTCATGGTAGTGAAGTGTACCACCATTTTGGATTAGAGACTGCATGATGCGTTGATAAAATTTCCCTTCTTCTTATCTTATCGTGCCTTTCCTAATGTCTGATTTTCTTGGTGTCATAAGAGTGTCTAACATCAACCCTTGTTGTTTTCATAGAATGAACACTAGGAAAGCAATTGGTCAGAGAAGAGAAGGAGCAGCTGCTGGGACAATCAAGTTCCAGCCCAGGCTCCAACTGAAGAAGTAGACATGCTGGTTAACCCTGCTGGGTTGACTGATCCTGAGGTGAGGGCATCTCTTGCCCAGATAGCACAGACCATCACTTTGCAGGCTCAGGCCATAACTGACCAAGTCAACCGACAAAATGTTCAAAGGGAGAACCCACCGATTCGTACCATGGCTGACAGGCTGAGTGACTTCACAAGGATTATTCCTCCTATTTTCACAGGGTCTATGACTTAAGAGGACCCCAGGAGTTTGTGGACGAGGTGCATAAGATCTTGGTGTCTATGGGGGCCACCGATACTGAGAAAGCAAACTTGGATTCATATCAACTCAAAGATGTTACACAGAGTTGGTGCAAGATGTGGCAGGATAGTCAAGCTTTGGGCGGAGTTACGATCACTTGGGAGCTGTTTAAGACAGCCTTTCTGGAGAGATTCTTCCCCAGGGAGATGAGGGAGACAAAGGTTGAGGAGTTATCAACCTTAAATAGGGATCGATGATAGTCAAGGAGTATTCCATGAATTTTGTGAAATTATCGAGTTATGCCACTTTTCTTGTGTCTAACAGCAGAGACGAGATGAGTAGATTCTTGACAGGGATTGCTGAGGATCTCGAGGAGGAGCATAGGGCAGCTATGCTGCATGACAGTATGGACCTTTCCAGACTTATGGTCCATGTCCAGCAAGTGGAGGAAAGAAGAATACACTAGGCCAGAGAATAGGTCAAGGAAATCCGAGGAGAATTTTTCAAGGAAGAGTAGTACTAAAATCAGGGACAAGCCCAGGTTTAAGAAGGGACTCTCCCACAAAGGGGAGTCAAATTCATCCAAGGGTCGCTATGATAGGAATTCTGAGTCAAGAGTTAAGAGAAACAATGAAGTAGATACACTTCAGGAGAGACCACCTTGTAGGAAGTGTGGCAAACTACATGGAGGAGAGTGTATGATGGGCACTAACGCTTGTTACAGTTGTGGCAAACCGGGTCATATGGTGAATGATTGTCCAAATAGGAGAAGACAAGAACAAGGGAAGAGAAAGTTCAACCTAATGGTCCAAGTGAAGAGGATACAAGGAGGCAACAATTCTTCAATCAAGTCTAGGGGTGCAGGGGAACGTAACTCTGGTGAAGTCTCGGGTTGGTAGCCTTAATTATTCTTTCATGTATTTGACTGTGTATGGTGTTTATGCACTAATATGAGGTTAATATGTTTGAGACATCATGTTGGTTGCTGATTTGTATGAAGTACATGTTTTTATTTATGTTGTATGCTTTGATGAGACTAGGTTAGGAAAGAGTTCTTTAGTTCAGTAATGTGAAGCTACTAGTAGGTTTCAAGGATGTGCACCATTATGTTAATATGTGAATCAGATATTCACCAATGGGGAGTATTAAATTACCTATGTAGGCATACATTCTATAGATGACTTACTTATTGTTAGTAAAGAGTAGTTTCATGAATCGGGGATGAATGTTCCTAAGGTGGGGATAATGTAACAACCCTAAAAATGAATATCCTAAGTAATGCTTATTGTGTCTAGAATGCCTACGATTAGACTGGGTTCAAACGGATTGATGCGCGTAGAACTAGACTTCTGAACCCTTGCTACAGACAAGCCAACAAATTTGGGGAGTTAGTGGAGATATAAAAGGTTGGTTCCAACCATGCAGAGTTCTCGAATACCAAGATTTACTTGAAGGAGTCTTTACTGCACTTAAAAAGCAAAAGTTTTTGGTTTAGAGGGTCTAAGGGTAAAATGGTCTTTTTCAAGTCTAAGTTTAGTATCATAATTACCCTAAATATATAATTAATTATTCATTTAATAAGGTGGATGGGCATTTTTGGGAGAGAGGCCCAAAAATTTGCTATAGAAATGAAGTCTTGCTCCACCCGAGTTTGAACCTAGGTAGAAGCTATGAATTAAATTATTTTTAATTTAAGTTGGTAAATTAATGTAATTAATTTATATTAATTATTTATTATCTAAGTTAAAATAAAAGGAAATCAGATTTTTAATAATTAAATAAAAACTTTAATTGACTAAGTCCTAAACTAGACTCCTAATCCTAAGAAAACTCTTCTCTCCCACGCTCATATCTCTCTCATGTCTCTATCACTCTCACTCACGATTCTCTCTGCCAAATAACTTCAATAAAACATTAGGTAAACCAATTTTTTTCACACTTGAAGAACTCACAACGAAAATATAAGAAAACAAACGAAATCAATCACATATGCAAAGAGAAATTTGTTCGTCGAGTTGGTGTTGTCTTTGAGGGGATTTGGACGTGATATTGGGTGATTTTTTTGGGCAGAAAGTAGAGGGTTTAATGTCAAAAAGGTATGGGTTCTATTCTCTCTTTGAAACTTTACCAAAATAGACCCCTAGGTTTAGATGAATCTATTCCGAAAACTAGGTTTGTTCCCCGTTGCATATCCCTGTCACTAGCTCCCATTGAATCATAGGTTGGTTATGTTTGCTGGTAGAAAACTAGGGATGAAACGTGTTTTCGTGATGCTTATGTGTTTATATGTATGTTCGGAATTATCTAACTTATGTTCATGTTTTTCCGAAATTATGTGTACGTGTGTGTGCAATGTGAACCTTATCTATGTGCCTCGGGTTAAGGCTTTAAAAATGTGATGTTGTGGTTGTATTTCATGTACAAATGATTATGTAATTCATGATGTTCATATTAGCTGAAATGTGGCTGATTTGACTGATAATCTCTTGGCTAAACAAATTCATGATAAATGCACTTAAGAACGTATTAAATAATCTACGAATTACCCTATGAAATTACGTATAAATGTTGAAGAAAGTAGGCTGCAAATGTGATTAAAATTTTCAGCATGTTGATCGTTTAATTTTGTCTAATGTTGAAGTTTAGGGGACTTAGAAAATAATGTTTAAAATATGTCAGGTCAGTTGGGATTGAACCCAACACCTCACTATAAGATAACTATGAATGAAAGAAAAAGGAATGTGAGGCGTGGGAATCGAACCCACGACCTCTAGGTATTGAAGGAGGGTTAAGAAAATGAGAAAATATATATGGAGACATGGGAATCGCACCCACGACCTCCTAGGCTGTGAGGGTTTGAACCCTCAACCCCTCGGCGAAAGGAGAAAAATTAAAAGTAATGAAAATAAAAAGTAAATGAGGTCGTGGGGGTTCGATCCTACATCCTCTAAGTTCTATTAAGCAAAAATGAAGGAAAAAATTAAGGGAAAAGTAAATGAAAAAAAATGTTAGTGCTATCCAACGGATTGAAACAGGGTTCCTTGCCAAAATTTCGTATTGATACATAAGTCATACGTGAATTAAATATTCATGAATAATGCTGCCTACTTAGATCAAAATCAAGATCTTGGCATACATACAAGATGCATAAGTCTCGTACCACATAATCTCATGAAGATATGAATCACTTAAACGAACTATGAATGAAGCCTCATGTCTTGTATGGATAGACCCATAAGTCTAGCATACGTCTAAAAATAAGTAAACCTAAGATGTATGAAATGAAATGATGAAACCCTAGAAGGGTTAAGTAAGAGTGTGAAACACACTAAATTGCTAAGTGCATTGGCATATGCTGAAATTAACAATGAAATGATGAAATGAACAATAAAATGATGAAATGAACAATGAAATGATGAAACCCTAGAAGGGTTAAGTAATAGTGTGAACCACCCTAAATGGACAAATGCATTGGCATATGATGAAATAAACAATGAAATGATTAAATGAACAAAGAAATGATGAAATGAACAATGAAATAATGAAACCCTAGAAAGTCTAAGTAAGAATGTGAAACACACTTAATGGCCAAGTGCATTGACATATGACGAAATGAACATTCACCTAAACTGGGGTGAGTAATAATGAAGAGCAAATATTCAAAATTTAATGAATTTGGTGAAAACATTATATGAGGCTAATGTAAAAGATGAGAGCAATCTCAAATGACCCTAAGTAAATGTTAACAAAGTACTCACCTATGAGAGTGTAATGTTAGTGAAGAAACCAGTCTCTATGAACACTCTAATGAAAGTATTAGATTAATACACTTAATACTAATGATAAGATGAGAATTCATCTATTGAGATATCATATCCTAATACTAGAAGTCAGCTTCCATGACGTATGAGTTGAATGTAATGGAACTTTATACTGCGCACTGATAGACTCACTATGAGAGGTAATGCCTTCTTTCGGGAAATGCAGAGGTTCACGTAACTCTCATGAGATGAGACTGTCCGGCATGTTGCGTATGGGTCTCCTTTTATCTCCTAGTCTTCGAACCTATACTGCCAACATAGGGATCTCGCGGGGTTAAATACCCATGTACGCTGGCATGTTTTAGGTCACTTTGGCTGGTGGTTCAACCTCTTTTCGATGTGGGGGAGACACTGGATTTCATGATGCTCACATGATCTATGTCGGTTAAATTTAAAGTTCCCAATGAATGAATGAGGTCAGCCTCAAATGATGCACATAATGAAATGAATGATACAAAAGGTGTTAGGATAGGATGATAAGGAGGTGAGCTAGACTTAAGTAATGACACGAGGTCATTCTTGATCATTGCACAACGAACCCGATGAAAGTCTTAGACTACATCCTAGGTATAGCTGGTGTTTACACTAGCATACGGAAAAATGAAATGAAGTACATATGAATGAATGAAGTAGACTGTGTGTTTGCTAAAGAAGGCTCCCTAGTTAAGATCCCATATTGTGAGCCCTCATTTTGGAAAGTCTTGATGTCAAGTCCATTATTCAAATGTCTCATCGCATATGAAAGAATGAAATGAAAAATGTTATATGCTATATGTAATATGTTATGTGCTATGTGTAAGATGTTATGTGCTATGTGCAATATGATAATTATGATGATGCATGTTACTCCAATGGCATGACTTTCCTAATGCAAAGCTCACTCATTTTCCTAATACAAATATGGAAAGCTCACTAACTTTCATAATCCCAATTTTTCAAGTCCACTGACTTGACTTTCGATAATCATATTTTTAGGAAAGATCTATTATTACTTATGCATGTCCTTGGTGTGTGCTTGCATATACCCATACATAGTACAAGTGTACTAACCCTATACAACTCTACAATTTTAGGTGCAGGCACAGGTTGACGCTAGAGCTATAAGTTAACAGTGAATCTATCTGGACGTAGAGCATTCATCCAGACTTTGTAGGCCCTCATTCTTTCGAGAATGCTTTCCTGTTATATTCTAGCTTAGTTATATGATTGATCTAGTGGAGTATGTTCCACTAGCGTTTCTTTCCGCTTTTGTTCAGACATTGTATTGGTGCCATTTTGGCAAGTATACATTTCATTCTATATTAAACTATGTCTTTCATTTGATAATCTAAATGTTTTTTATGGTTGATGTTGAATAGTTACGAATCTAATAGAATGATTAGTATGTATGTTAAGAAGCAAAAAGTTTAAAATTTTCCACTAAAATTAACCTAGACAAAGTAAGAATGACATAAGTAGGCTTGTCTGCGACCTCATAGAGGTCAACAACGTTGGTCTCGTCTAGGGTCTAGACTTCGGTCGTTACACTATTGGTGTACTAACTAGAAAAGGTTCATGTAAGATCTAAGTAAGCAAGTAAAATTTATAAGTTACTAAAGAAGTAACAAAAAACAAGGTGGACCCTTGATCTATCAATGCATACAACTGAAAAGAAAAGATATGCAAGTTACTAGTGACCACATCGGCTGACTTCTCCTGCTCATCTCTACCTTTCAAAGCATAGAACATGTTCCTCTTGTTAGGATTAGCTGCAGCAGTAGGATTAGGCTGAGGCTGAGTATCTACCTTGGCGTGATTCTTCACATCTGGGGAGTCCCTGATTATATGCCTACTCTTGCCGCACCCATAGCAGGCATTAGAACCTACCATGCACTAACCTCCATGCGAATGACCACACTTACCACACGATGTTTTGTCACATTGGACATTTCTATCATTGCCCTTATTAAACTTGGGCCTGTCCTGGAACAAAATGAACTCCTACCAGTACTACAACCATCCTAATCCGAGGGCCTAGGGTTCTTTCCTTCTCGGCCTCTCTTTCTCCGATAACTCTCCTCCACTTGCTGTGCATGTAC